TGTTGAATGATGATAAGATTATAACAGATGTAAACACTATTAATGATAATGACAAACGTCAAACACTTTTACACTTCGTAGTTCGTACTTACCATTATGATAACTCAACAACACATTTCTGTAATAAAATCTAGTACATTTACCAATGCTAAAAAGTAAAAACTATGGATTTAATTTTTATACTTGAAACTGTCACTTTGTTCAGTGAATTCTTTTTCTGGGCTTTTTGGTAAAGGTATAAAATCGTTAAAATGTTCATTGAACAGTGATCTTTTACATGTATTATTTTTGATATTTATGTCTGATTCTTTAAGCTAAAAAAAATATGTGTTATGTATTTGTAAGTATTATAATTAATAAATACTGAACTATAATATTATAGGTGTTATTTATTTATATTTATGTATATATTATTATAATATTATATATAAATATTTATTTATGTATATACTACTTATTCTATACTTACCTCAGTCTCAATAACATTATCCGGTCTTCCATAACTTTGTTGGTTGCTAGATTTTGCACCTTCATTTAAGTTTAATACTAAATTATTCTGAAGTAAATATAAAAATGAAACGTTACTAAAAATATATAACTAGAAAATGCTGTTACATTATACTTGAATATCAGAAACCTCTTCTACATTCCCTGGATTAATATCAGAAACAGAAAATCCCGGACTTGTAATAATAATTTGTTGACCATTATAATTTGAAAGATCTCCAGGATAAACCTCTTGTACATTCCACGGACTCTTGTTTTTGGGACTAACCTTTTGATTCTGTACTATAAACTGAGGTAAAATATTATAGCTTACAATTGGTTTTGTAGGAACAGCATTTGTTTTTAATTTTCTCTGGCATTTTGGAGAATAATTAAGCATTTCTTGAATCATTGGCTTCTTAGCATATTGAGATGCATCGAAATGTAAAGAACATATTCTAGCTGTAGATTTGTGATTTCATTATGGTTATAATATTTTTATTTTTATATATATATATATATATATATATGTATAGTATAATTTATAAACAATACACAAAGTTAATGTAGACAAATCTTAAGTCTTTATGCAGATAAATCAGTAAAAATCTTATTCAACTTACCAGATTTGACATTTATTTTGTCTCTTTGACAGAATTCTACCCAAACTTTACACAAATCAGCATCTCTCCAAGGAAAACTGAAAAGTTTCACCTTGGATATTTGCATAGAAGATCTACCACTTTTACAATTTTTTACTGAACACAAAGGCATTTTAAAAATTGGACAAGTAGGTATGGTGCAAATAATACAATTATTATACTTAGGTTATGTTATATAGGAATAAATAAAAACAAACATGTTAATTTCATAAAAATAATGGTTTATTTTTAATCAGATTTATAAATATACATTATATAAAAATAGACTGAATAATTGAGTGTAATTAAATCTGTGTGTAATATTTTTTTATTTATAATATATTACGATACCAGTATAAGTGTATAACATAATATACTAAATAATATATAAGATAATATTTAGATCTTAATTATTTTTTAATGTAACATTTACCGTAACTAGAAAATTGAGTATAATTAAATTTGTAATGCATAATTTTTGTAATTTATAATAAATCATGATGGCGGTATAAGATATGAATAAATAATATAACATGTAAAACGTAATTAGTGAATTGAGTGTTAGTAAATTCTTTTTTTTCCGTGTATATTTTTTCAGTGAGCTTTTTTCCCGGCATTCATTTTTACACCGGTTTAGTGTAGCGTATTTGTAGCAAGTGTCCGCCACAAAAAGCAGACAGGCCTACGTCATATCCCATGGAATAAACATCTAAAAGATTTTTATTCCATGATAAATACTGGCTGCGCTGACTGCATGATATTTCATCCAAGTTGAGAACATACCAGTGTATTTAGCCATG